TAGAAGTGTGTTGTCCGCAAATAGAAGATGCGAAATACCAGGGCTCGGCAACAGACATGCACTGGTGAAATTTCTCCTTTGATTACCCTATCTTCCAGAAGCAAGGATAGACCATCGGCTATGAAGAGGAACAAGAAGGGAGATAGGGGATCACCCTGTCTCAACCCACATGATGGAGCAAATGACGAGAGAAGGGTTCCGTTAAATTTCACAGAGTATCTCACCGTGGTTATACACTCCATTATCTAGCTAACCCACCGGTGAGAGAAACCCATCTTGTGCATAGCCTGCTCCAAAAACTTCAAGTCCACGCGATCGTAAGCCTTGGATAGATCCAACTTGTACGCACATGCAGCACCGCATGGTCTTTTGTTCTTTTGGATATAATGGAAGCATTCAAAAGCTTCTACCGTCTTCTATTTTCTCTTTTATCCATTTACCTATTGTTTTGTGTCATAGACACTTTTTTTTTCAGAAAGTGTCATGGACACTATTTTGATCCCTAATACTATTTTACTTGTTTCTTTTCTTATTGTACCTATTTGTTTGTCTTGGTAAAACATACTGGTTTATCTTTTCTCATGTAGGAAAATAGTTTGAGGATCCATTTCAAAACAACTTTCTAGAGCTTTTATAATATCATGTGCCTAATTAGACCAAAATTTGCTAGAGATTTTGCTTCTAAAAGTTTGAAGATAAGAGGCGTTGTTTCAAGAAACAATCAATCAAGAGCAAAACCTTAGTTTGATATATAGAGGAAAATATATATGAAATCCGGAAAATACTCGATCCTATTGTGCACATCCATAAGGGTGACACCCTTTAAAAGTCTCATCTCAGATTGAGAGAATCAGTTGTGATTCTAAATCCTCTTCCTCATCAAAAGGAAATCATCACACTATGGATAACACTGTAGCAATGGGAACTCTTGATGTAGAACACAAGATCTATACACCCATCGTTCCTCATCACATTGTTAGCATGCGTCATCTTTGTCGCCCGTTGCCTCCATGTGCAGCAGATGGATTCGTATCCCTTGCATTAAATGCGAGGGCAGCTGCGTGACATGCAGAACCAACGGTCCAGGCCCCATCATATTTATGGCACAGTAGGGGCCCCGAGCAGCCAACGGGGCCTAAACTCGGGGCCTACCCCGAGCTCATGTCCTGAGCTCAAGAATCGTCTTTGTTTAAAGCAAGAAAATGAGTTCCTAATCCCACCTTTCGCTGGCATGGCCCGATGCCACATGGCCTTGCCATGAAATCCTTCGTGCCCTGAGTAGCCGGTAGTGGGGACCTAGGCCCCCACTTCTTCGATAGATGAATACCTACAAAAATAACTTGGAACAACAAAACCGGTGAAATTCGTTAGTCTAAAGAAAATTGGTGTATTGAACAATGTTTTTGCGCATTTAGTTGCAGAAGGTCAGGGGTCGAAACTATGTTTAATGACCACCAGGACACTACTAGTAGGACATCCACAATGTATGGAGAACCTGAGTTTAAGCAATTTTTTTTATGGCTATTCAACATACATTGTGAGGATGGACATAAGCTCTTTATCTGAAAACTAGCTCACAAGTTAGAGGTGGTATTCCTGTCTCTACCCTTCATCATTGCAGTCATGCTACTGCGAACCCAGATATGTGAACCGGCACCGATGCTATGCACCATTAGTGCTGCTACTTGGGTGCCAATTGGAACATCCAGCATATATGCACGAAATATGATTGTTGACGGTCGTTATCGATCAGTTTCGACCGTCAATATTACTAAAATAGAGGAGAACTAGTAATGCTTGCAATGCATATATCTATTAGAATAAAAATATTCCACTAGTATTAGGTATACTAACCTTTTGCAGAGAATGACAATAAAGTGGAGGAGAATCGACATCAACTCAGACGATAAATCAATCGGACGATGTCGATAACCAGACTTATGTATGAATGGGCCAAAAACTCAGAATTGACACGATGAATTGGGCCAAAATTCACAAGTCTACAAAGTGAAGCAATAGAGGAGGCTGCCAGCCGAAGATGGGCCGGGAAGGCCCAGCCCATAGTTCGGCCGAACCTGGTGGTTCAGCCGAACCCATCCTAGCACCGTTGGATGCAGGGTTCGGCGTGGACGTCCAGGATTGCATCCCAATGACGGTTGGAGGGTACTTCGGACAATTCCCCTTCCACAACCGTCATAACTACCTCTATATAAGGACTTCACCTTCTCACTTCACTCACACACCTCAAGCAATAGCTCTCTCATTTCTCTCAAGTTTAGTTTAGTAGTATCTAGCTGGTGGAATAGGAATAGAGTAGAAATCAGGAGTTCGGAAGTCTTCGGAAGAGTTCGGGTATGGCTCTAGTAGCTTTTCTCTTCTCTTTTGTAAGCTTTGTACTTTTATTAGAATACTCTTCTTTATACATTTATGGTATTGAAATACTTTTCGAGTATATGAATGCCTACTTTACATTATGTTCATGTTATACTGAATATATGGCTAGCTTATCTGGGAGATGCTTTGGTGCGGGTATAATATTTGCTTATGCAATTACTCTATGTCATGACGATGATATTAGAGTAGTATCTGGTAGTTTAGACGTGGTGTCTAGATTACAGGATATCATTATTTGGGGTTATATATTGCAGATGAGAGGTGGGCCGCTGATGGTGACAGCTCAATACGGGTATTCCTCCGCGCCGGTATATAATCCTAAGTTAATTCCCTGGGGAGGGTATTCTTCCGTACTTAGCCCCGGTTGTATGGTCATGACGGGCTGTCGTAAGGAACTCGGCGGTCAGGGGTGGCTTCTCGAAGTAGCAGGAGGGCATCGGATAGAGGGTATTAGCTAGTATATCAGTTAACTAGAATGTATGTATACTATGTATATTAGAAGTATAGGAATAGATTCTCTTTCTCTTTTCTTTCCACTTAGCTTAGATGATATATTATGAGAATGAGTAGTTAATGCTTGTGTATCACTCTACCCTTGGATTATCTTAACCCCTGCTTAGAATATGATTATCACAAGTAATATATAAATTATTAGTCAATGTTCTCTTTACATGATCTTCCCACGGGATAAAATAAATACGATACCCTTGGAATACTCACGGGTGAAATACTACAATGGTATATCCGTGCGCTTGCGGATGAACTCTGTAACCATAATATACCAGAAGTATTTATGCGCCATTGCTGGAAATTATATTTCTAGTAATGTCGTTAAAAAATACCAACAACCTCCCTCCTGCCGCTGGTCAGACCGCCCTTGCCTAGCCAGTCAGACCACTGCACCACATGTGGTTAGACCGCCGCCTTGCTATCGGTGTGACTGTCGGGACCTAGAAAACACCGGTAGATGAAAACTCGAAGATGTAGATTTAAATATGTCAACTTTATTGCATCAACTAGTGTTTACAAAGTGCATCAATAGCACCCCTCACAAAAATCTCGACTATATTCAAAGCCCTAACTTTTCTCTCACCTCAACTCTCTAAGAAATTGATATCTAGAGGCCTCAACACCTCTACTATTTTATACCCTCAACGTGTCTATGCAAAGCCCACAAATCTAACAACAATTTGGACTACCAACCAACTACTTCCCAAAATCTTAAGCTCTCCAAATAGGATGTGTGTTTGATGCCTTGGCAAGGTCATGATGATCATGTGGTGAGAATTACAAAATTTTGCTATGCCCGGTATGATAGTGAAATTTTCTGTTTTATTTGAATATAATTCAAATTTCACCATATCGACTGATTTAATTGAGACACTAATTAAGCTTGGTGATACCATCATACTAGATGAATATCCTAAACACAAAGTTAATTAGAAGATCATCACGAGTTTTTCTTATGGACATCTGCTTCACAAAATCTCAATGTTTGATATATGCATGCAAATGAAATTATTAAATGTACGACATTCAAAAAACATGCCAACACCGAAAATGTACATAAAGGCATCGAAGACACTGTTCATTGAACTATGTTGAATTCTACACATTTATGGATGATACAAAGAGCCTGTTTAGAGGAGCTTTTGGTAGATGCAACTTTTTCCAGGATCAGAAGCTTCTCCAGTTTAGGTCGAGTTCACCTCTCCTAAGGCATGACTAGTGTGCATGTCATCCATGGTTTTTCCTATGTAAAATTGAATTAATGTTGCACAATGCACATAATATTTACAGTAGTTGTATAATCTCTTTAATTTTTTTCTATACTCGACCTAAACATAAACTTTAAATCTGCTAGCCAAATAGGCTACTCCCTCCGTCCCTAAATATAAGGGATTTTGGTTAGATGTGACACATCCTATCGTAAAAATCTTTTTTTAATTACCACGTGTCAATTTCATATCCGGTGGTATTTTCTAACTCCATCGTCATGACGGTATTTTTCTAATCCACTTTTTCAACTTAACTTTTCTAATTCACATGTGCCAATTAATATTTCTCTTATTTTTGGGAAGGGGTGAATTTTATTAATTCAACAGAGTGATTACAATTCCACAGGGCTAGAATTGATTAATCTCTTACAAAGAACAATGGAACATTACACTCAACCAAACACTTGTTTGTGACAAGCACGGAGCACTCCTTTAAAAAGAAGTCCTAGGCACAAAACATCATAGGCACTACCACACAAGTGTATATGTTATTTGTATACACACTTGAAAAATGTGAAAAGAACAAACAACATACACTCAACACATACCACCAAACACATTTGTATGTGTTTTGTAAATACACACATTTGAAAATTGCTGGAGGCACAAAACATCTCCCACAAATCATTCACTCGTGTGACAGTACATTATTCTTGTTTGCTTGAAGTGTTTGTTTCAAGATCAACCAAGCTTTTTACATGCTTGGCAACTAATATAGGACAGGCCAAAATGGAACCTTTATTTCATTCACCAAACAAGCTATATATAAACTGGTAACTAAAAACTATAAAGCATACATAATCATTTACTCATGGCTTAGAATTCTGCTTTGCAAAACTTTTTTGTTATCCCTCTGTAGAATACAAGCATACAGGATGAATAGAGAATACATAGAATTCCATTTACACACATTTTTTGTGCATGGATAAGTGGCAAAATTCTATAACTGGGCTATAAGAGAAAACTGATAGTGGCAAAATTTGCCAGAATGAACAACGTTTGTAGGAAGACAAAGAACCCTGAAAAACTAAGAAATTTAAATAATATAATCCTAAACTATACCCATGGCCACAATACCCTAATATTGCTGCAGTAGAATCCAATACTTCCCCTATTTCTATACCCAATTAGTGTAAATAAATTTGCTTCTCCCGCGATGTACAAAAGAATTTTGAAGCACCAAGTGCTTCCAATATGTGAGGATTTTCCCGTTAGAGCTTAGAAAATGGTGTAGTTAGAGAATAAGTACATGAGATTGTTCAAAGTTTCTGGGTAGAACTTCCTTGCAAACAAGTAGCATGGTCTCTTTAGTCCATTCCACAAGCAAGGCCTCTGCAAGAGCTCTTTCTGCATTCAAAAACAAGGACGGTACATGATCTTTAGTTGTCCACTCCTGTAGTTTGATGACATCACATACAGATGTACAATGCCTCTTCGTGAGCTAGAATTCTAGACCAAACAGAGTTGGAACAGAGGTGATTGTGAAATACACACATATATTAGACATACTGTGTCTGAATATGAGAATTATTTTGTATATGGGATTTTTTTAGATTTGAGGGTGTTTCTTCTTGGCATTTTTAGATTATTCACTTTATTTATTTGAAACACTGCAGCACATGGGCCTTCACTAGTATTAGTAAAATGGAGTAGTTAGCAAAACATTAATGGCAAACTAAGCTAGAGGCAAGGAAGAACCTTTTCATCACTTGTTATGTGGTAGCTGATGTCAACCGACTGCAGCAAAGACTGAAGTTAGAGGTATCCCATGAAAAGGAAAATAAAAGTCCATCCAAAGAGAATATTAAGATGACCCAGAAAAAGGTTAAGCGTACTGTCATATTCTTGAGGAGTTCATAAGTTACATCCTTAGCTCGGAAAGACCTGGGATGCCACTTTCCCTCAGACCAATCAACATAAGTCACAGACCAATTAGCAATTCCAGCAGGGTCCATCATCTGGTTGGCATTTAAACGAATTCAGCAGATATGATTGATAATAGTAGGTTTTCAAATAAGAATGGGCATTGTATACTGAACTACTGACAAGGAATAGTGTTGGCAAGTAATGCTCATCTGCATAACAATTGCGACCCTCTTCCATTCCTGGCTGCGAAAGGAGAAAAAAACACTGTAAGATATTTTAGCACAATTACAAGTCATGAATATTTCAGTGCGGTAGCAGTCAGGGTGGTGAGGTTAAGAACAGGACATTCACTAGTAGAGTTTTGCTTTTGGTAACCTAGCTAAATGCCCAGGTGTTTGTCGTGAATAACAATGAAAGAGACATGTCCTACTAATGTTCAGGAAGAATTTGTTTTTTATTGTTTCCATTGAACACATCTTCACATTGCGAATTAGCTTGTATGCTACACATATGTGACACTTCGGTCATCTTGGGCATTGACATGTTAAATATGTATTGAAGGCTAACTAATTAAGAAGATAATAACATTTTGTAAACTATAATGTATATTGAAGAACTTCAAGGGGCAATTCACAAACCATGTCCACCATCATATCATCTTTTAGCATCTATACTCCTTTAAAAGAACATAGCGGTGGTGGCAGTGACTATCACCCTACCTACTCTCATTGTGAATTTTGCAAATTACCCCCTGGACTTCTTAATATTAAAATTCAATTAAATCTAAATGCATAACCACATATAAAATCAAATTAAGGTGAATATTCCCTATAAACAAAGATGGGTAATGCATTTCATGAAAAATATATATGTTTATCTATTTTAGATAGTATTATAGTCGTTCTCTTTATGCGGATGATGTGGTCATGTCTTTGCGTCCTACAAGTGGGGATCTATCTCTGATCAAGCAAATTTTGGAGTTCTTTGGTCAAATCTCTGGGCTAAAAACCAATATGATGAAGAGCTCCTGTACCCCTATTCACTGTTTGGAGGATGATTTGGAAGTAATCTCTAACGAGCTGTCCTGTGAAGTGACAAGTTTCCCTTGCACTTACCTTGGACTTCCTCTTTCAGTCCGAAAACACACCATGACAGATTTGTTACCTCTTGTGGACAAAGTGGCAGATAGTTTACCGGGATGGAATGCTTCTTTGATGAATAGGACTTGTAGACTTACAGAAGTTCGGGTGGTTTTCTCAGCTATTCCAATTTATGCAATGATGGCTTTAGGCCTGCCTAAGTGGGTGGTTAAGGCCATCGATAAAAGGCGTCGTGGTTTTCTTTGGAAGGGAAGAGATAACGCTAATGGAGGAAATTGTTTGGTCTCTTGGGATCATGTGTGTCGGCCGCTGTCTTATGGAGGTCTCGGTATTCTTAACCTTGAAAAGATGGGATGGGCATTACGCTTGAGGTTGTTATGGCTCCAAAAAACTGATTGTAATAGACCATGGGTTGGTTTATCTATTAATGTGCCAAAGAATGTCCACTCCCTCTTTGATATGGTTGTTAAAACTATAGTTGGAAATGGAGAAAATACTCCCTCTGTCCCACATTATATGGGACTGAGCACTGTTTGGCCAAAATAAGGATGTTGCCAAAAGACGCATGTACCCCTCATTTACTCATACTGGGCACTGGGCAGTGAGCAGAATATTTCGGTTTACAAGCTTGCCAGCAAATGATTGGCACAGAGAAAGATAGGTGGTTGCAAGGGAAAACAATAGTAGAGCTGGCCCCTAATCTCTTTGCCTTAATCCCTAAAAGAGCAAGAAAGCAACGTACTGTGGTGCAAGCTTTGACAAACAGGAGATGGATTGTTGATATTCATGGGGACTTTCGGTCCAGGTTCTTGTTGAATACTTGGCTTTTTTTTTCAAGAAAGCACAGTGGAGGAGGCCTCCACGGTATATATATATATATTAAATAAAATAGGTTATTTACATAAAAGGAGAACAAAAACAAAAAACAAATTACAACAGATCAATCCATGATTGCACCATAGGATGATGAGTTTCCTTGAGCCTAGGTAAATGTAGTCTCAAATCCAATTTTAAGCTTCTCTTCCAAGAGAGAACATCAGGCTGCACCCCATTATAAATCAAGTTATTTCTCTCCTTCCAGATATTTCAAGCAGCCAACAGCATAAGTTCCATGAATACTTGGCTGTTTGGGAGCTAGTAGAAGAAGTGGCTTTGATACAAGATGTCCAAGATCAGTATGTGTGGAAACTCGCTGCTGATGGTATTTACACATGTAAATCTACCTATGAAGCCTATTTTCTATGATCAATCAAGTTTGCTCCCTGGAAACGCATTTGGAAGTGTTGGGCTCCCCTCCGATGCAAGTTCTTCATTTGGTTGGCCGTTAATAATAGGTGTTGGACAGCCGATCAATTGGCGAAGAGAGGTCTGCAGCACCCTGTGGCCTCCTCCCTTTGTGATCGAAACGAGGAATCCATCCAACACATTTTAATTTCCTGTGTCTTTTCTCGCCAAGTTTGGACAACACTCTTCCTGAGGTTGGGGTTATCCGAAGCGGCGCCTCAACCTTCAACGGATCGTTTTTTGAGATGGTGGAGCCAAGCTACTAAAGACCGGATGAACGAGGTGCGAAAAGGGATTAACTCTTTGGCGACTTTAGTGGCTTGGGAGATTTGGAAGCATCGCAACAACTGTGTTTTCAATGACACCAATCCTAGAGTTGCGTCGGTCTTGCAAGTGGTAGAAAATGAGGGAAATCTTTGGTGTTCTGCAGGAGCTTTCGCATTTCAGAAGCTCCTTAGTGGACCAGCTAACCTAGGCAATTAGCACTCCCCGGTGTGGTCTTGGGTGGTCTCGGTGGGAGGGCTCGGGTCCTCCTACTTTGTAAATATTTTGTACTTTGTTTTTTTCTTCCCCTCGATGAATGAAACGCAGTTCTCCTGCCATTTCAAGAAAAAGGACAATATTGTAGTGTATGTTTTAACTGTAGCAAAGCATGGGCATTTAGCTCGTAGTACAGAGAAAGAAATGGCCAGATTACAGAAAGGGTAACACTTTCTACCTATTTTAATGTTCTTTCTGACAAATCCTCTACGTGGAATCTCTAGAGTGACAAAAACACGAAGTTCCATTCTTTTGGATGCAAATTAAGGATGCAAGTGGGGAGGGCAAGCGGGTTTTTTTTTTTTGCCCACTTATCCCACTTCTAGTTCATTTTTTCTTCCAAATTTTGTACTACCAAATGAAAAATGAAAAAATATTAAGTGGGTTTTTATGCAGGTAGTGAGATTGCCCATTTGAATCCTTAATGCAAATAATTTATTTTATCTCCCTTTTTCAATATGAATCTAACAGGCCAACTTTACAAATAACTTGATTATTGAACTCCAAAGGTACTAATAATGCCTATAATCTACATCGTGTGCAGGGCATGCTACCAAAATATGAATTTGATTACCTTGCAGAAACGCCTGAATTTTGTGTAATACAGACTATCCGCAACCACCACCATTGCATGTTGCCTCTTGATTGCGAACCACTGTGATATTCAGAAATTGTGTTTGAAGACAGTTCAAACCCAGACAAAATTTGGAAGACATATTACATAAAAAATAATAGAACTAAAATTGTGCATCTTTATTCAAAACAGAAACTATGTATCCTCTCTAGTTTGATTCACAATCCAAAGTTTGAGAACTTGCATGGAAAAATGATGCTCACCTGCGAGCCCTTTCTAAAATCAATCTCTCGAACTTCTGGCAACATATGCTTCGAGTATCTAAATACTCCATGTGGCCCAGGATCATCAAAGCTGGTCATAGATGAAACAAGAAGATAAGCAGGATAAAAACATGATTTCAAATAAATTTAAGTTGATTATATGAGAATTGTAAATAAAATTTTAATTAAAGATGTAAAACTTTTCTGGAATACTTTGGGTTAGTGAACTTATGGATATGCATGAAGGAAAGCATCTGAGATAGAATATTGACTCAATGTCTCACCAGTCAAGAAAACTGTGTCTTGATCCCATCAAGAAGTCGTACACATAGTCAAAATTGTGTAGGGGAACACAACTGACATCATTGAGCAAGCAATAGTTAAGAACTAAGAGACTTTATTGTGCAGCAAAATAGGATTAAAGTAATTTTGTAAAATGTGGATTACCTGTCAGAAAGCAAAACAAATAGTTGGTTGTCCGTATCTTCTAGGGCCTTTGCCAGCAACCTCCTCTCTGCATCAACCATAGAAATCATGCCCCATCCTACCTGAAAGGTATTTGGCAATGTAAGCATTTGCAAAGTATTCAATTCAGAATATGATGCGTATGATTGGGTGCTCATCGGTGCGTTTAGGTTGATGCAGACCCATCACAGCCCATCCAAACAAGACCTAAATATGCACCAGTGACAATTAAGAATTGATCAGACTCCAATTCAATTTCAGAAAACTAGGGAATTAATTATAGTACCACTATTGTAAATCAATGACCAGGTGTGTAGAGTATGCGAATGTGATGGATACTAGTGTAGATTATTATCAATATACTATTAAACCTAAACTAAAACAAACACATACTCTAATAGGAGTACTATTAACATTCAAGATTGTTGTGTGCTTTTAATATATGGATCCATGTAAGTGCATCATTTGAAGGTACAGGAATACACTTTAGAAAAAAACTGCTAGACTTGATCTAAGGTATAAGAATACACAAGAGAAAAAAAAATAGATAGAAGAGCTGCTAAATTTACTTCAATACAAAAGTACTCTTTGCACAAGAAATTATTGTGGTTGAAACCAATGGTGAAAAATTAGCCATTGTCTGATTATAGAGTCGGTACAGCTTGATTAATCATATAAGTGTATCATCGAACAGATGAATAAATTTAAATATACCTGCTGTCTGTTGCACCATTGTATCTATTGACTACTTATGAAAGGGAATATTGATTTTGTTTGAATTCACAAATTTGATGATTTCATCTGGATAAATATATACATAGTCTGAAGTCATAGTATTCTTGTTCCTGTATAGTGCTCTACTTACTCAACATATACAACCATTTTTTTTGTGTTCTTTTAAAAAAATAGTACTCTACTGAATTGTATGTTGGCTTCTTCAAGGACTAGCAAGGTGTTAACAGTGAAATTTGGTAAGCCCGGAGTAATCATCGGCTTAGACTCAGCATCGGCTTCGAAGTCCTGAGATTAGCCGATGAGAGTTGTCAAGTCGTCAGTTGTCGGATTCTTGCTATATTCGGTTGAAGAAATTGATCTATTAATGGAAACTTATCCAGAAGAGACCGAGTTCAAAGAGAATGCGGCATGGCAAGTTATCTATTAATTAGGAATAGTTTGTTAGTTTCCTTTTATCTTTAGGAAAGTGTGTTTAGTGTCCTATAAGGACTTTATCTTTTCCTTTTATCTCTAAGAAAGTTTCTTTCTTGTCCGACAAGGACTTGTGTCAAACCATGGTTATAAATATGTACACCTGGGGTCTATGTAATCAATCCTCACGATCAATACAATTCGGCGCATCGCCACCCTTTTTACTTTTACTTTTGTTTCTACGTTCCGGCGGAACTTGGCACCCGACGCGGGGCTGCAACGGTGTTCGATCTCCGGCTAAGGGGTAAGTCCAATGTTCCGTCGGCCCAGGCAATTATATCGTCTACGTCAGCGTCGTTCAAGGCCGCATCAGGACATTCGACCTCTTGGATTGCTCTGGTTTGGATGACATACTTGCCTACCTATTTATCATATGTCTCTGTTAATCTAGTCTTAGCATATCAATTTAGCTCTATCGGCTGCTTCTCGTTTTAGGGTTTCTACCGGTATCGGCTAAATCGCCTTGTTAGATTAGATTAGTTTAGACATCTACCACCCTGAAAACTCAGTCAACGGCTTGATTGTCTAGATATTGTGTTTCTGTTCATACTTAGTGCTACATCAGTTGAGTTTGATCTACTAAGTCGTGCTTAGAACCATAATCTCTAGCCTGCTTTTTGACTGCCAATAAGGGTTTCATCGGGGTTTCAGCCGATGAGTTATCTGGACGTTGCATCGGCTTGTAAGGATTGCATATACATACATATTGGATTTAGCCGATCGCAACAAAGATTTTATCGTTTAATCTAATCTTGTGGATTTTATAACATCGGACCTCCAGCCGATGTATGCTTTAACCATCGGATTAGTGCTTATTCTATCATGTCATTGTTAGCCAATTGGTTTCTACTGGATTATATTATTGTTATATTTTAATATCATCAGCCGATTGTCTTTGCATCATTATCTACATTGAACACATAGCCGATTGCTCAAACCCTATCGCTATCGGCTGGTATCGGCATCGGCTATTATCGACTATCGGCTGCAACTACTCCATCGGCTGTTTAGCCGATCGGCTATTTGATCAACTGTTTACATATCTTGTCAGTTGCAGTATCAAACTGACTAGCACGCCCGCATCTCAACAATCTTTGGACCTGCACAGGAGTTAAGCAGATCTCCCAGGCCGGTGTGTTTGAATTTTTCGTCAACACAAGGTCAACATTAAATTTCAGAAGAAATACTAGTAGTTCTGACATATTCCAGTCCTTTAGGGAGCAAAGATGACAAGTTTGTCTATTGAATTTGGGAACGGGTTCCAACAAAATATTCTAGAAGAAGAATAATTTTAAACAAAAGGTTGGGCGGTTAGGAAGCAATTTCCAACGAGTTTCAGTATTAGATTGTCATGTGGGGACGCCACTACGTCCGTCATCGCCGACAACAGCGTGATGAGGAACAATATTTTGTTAGGTTCTTTTCTTATCCAATTTGTTTTGTTAGTTTATCTCTTTGGGTTGTTAGGATCTTACCTCTTTAGATGGCTTATATTAAGCTGTAAACATATCGATTAATCCAAGCAATTTGAGATCAATCTAGTTCTTTAGTTCCTGCCTCGTGGGTGCATCGCCGATCACGGCTCCGCCGCGCCAACGAGGTCCAGGACCGTGTCCTGCTACTTCCCTTAAATACAATCTTCGTCGAATCCCTCCTTCCAATTCATTAGCTCGTGACAACTTGGTATTAGATTGCTCTAGTTCCGATCTCATGGGTTCCACTCAAACACAACTCGATGACATCGCCAAAACCCTCACCTCCATGGCTTCCCAAATTCAAGATCCGTCCCGGAAGATGAGCGCCCTAGAGCCACTAGTTCCGCTCGCATCAAAGCTCAACGGCCTGCCCGATCACGTTACCCAAGTCCAGGCATCCGCTTTCGAGTATTTGTAGCAGGTCCGAGCCCTCAATCTCACCGTCAAGCGCATCGAGGTGTTGTACCAAGTGCTTAGCTCGGCCTCGCACTTCCCCCGAGATGAATGCCCTCCATTCGAGGATGGTGACACACATCTTCATCGCCACCACTCGTCGTCACGCCACCCACAACTTCATCAACGACTGCGCAGTGCATCGGGCAAACGTTCCCCTCCAACCTCACTCCAGCCTCAGCGCCGCAATGGCGAACGTCGACCGCGTCAACTCGCAAGGACAGTGCCCACCCCAGCACGTCACCATCGGTGCGCACGCATTCATCATCGACTTCTATGCCCACTCGGCTACGACATCATCCTCGGCGTTAAAGGGCGCAGCAAGTTGGGACCTAAATTTTTTGGCCCATATCAGATTGTCAAACGAATTGGCTTGGTAGCCTATCGGCTTCGCCTACCACCTGGGGCTCAACTCCACAATGTGTTTCACGTTGGATTGCTCAAGCCGCCTGAAGTGTCTCTGCCTTGCCTCCGACGCAACATGGTCGGGTTTGTCTGCAACCAGCAGCCGTTCCTCAGTCATTTGGCACGAGGCGTTCGTGAAGTTTTGGTGGAATGGAAAGATAAGCCGGCAGCAGAGGCTTCTTGGATGTGCCTGGACGAATTTCGTGCTTTGTATCCAGATTTTCAGCTAGAAGACGAGCTGCTCCTAGAGGGAGGGAAAGATGTCATGAGGGGATGCCACTACGCCTCATGGGTGCATCGCTGATCACGGCTCCGCCGCGCCGACAAGGTCCAATACCGCGTCCTGCTACTTCTTTTTAATACAATCTTTGTTGAATCCCTCCTTCCAATTAGCTCGTGGCATAGATTACATTACCCTATGAAATTTTAGTGTAAGCAGGATCATGAGGAAAAGAATATATTACCAGTACAATATGGGAGAGAACCTTGTTATGTGAGTAGCACAATTGAATGAAATATGGAAAATTCTCTGCATCTTACCACCTCAGAAGTCCTAAATGCACATGCCTTACAAGTTCACCAAGGCTTCATACTGAGAAAATGATTACCTTATCACTGTGTATGTCTCGGCCAACAAATACAGGACTGACATGTTCGGGTTTCTCACGTGAAGCATGAACATATATAGTGTACCTCCCTTCATGGCCCTGCAAAAATTATGGGAAATGCCACAGAAAAGGCAAATCGAATTAAGGTGTATGACATTGTCTAATACCACGCATAAAAGGAAATTAAAAGGAAGCAAACTGGCATGCTTCATGGCATGAAAGATCAAGTAGAAAGGTACAAATGTGGCCCAATATTTATGGGGGTAGAATAAAATTTATATCCCTATTATGTTCAATTTGCATGACTATTAACTATTAATGCTTCAAAGGAAAACGATATATGTGCCTTTGATACCAACCAATTCAATCCAATCCACTCAACTCAACTGTCTTCCTTATAACCGGTGAGTGGCAACAGAACAAATAAACAACCATTATTTTTAAGTTTTTCATTTTATTTACTTCATAAAACCCACAAAGGTTGTACACAAGGAATAACAAACTCAGTATCAGTAACAGAAATCATGATATAGTACATACGCATGAGTGCACAAAAAAGGGGGAACTCATGGTGTACCTTAAAAAATAACTCCCATAATTTCTCAAATGGCAACTTGCCAGGAGTCAAGAACATGAAAGCGATTTTGGGGTTCCTGGATGGGAATGGAGGCGTTGAGAGGATTTGTCTAAAGACAACTCGAGCGGCAGTCTCCTCATCGGTCAGTTCCCGGGCAGGTTCTGCAGGAAACCAGTCCCTAACAGGATACCAATCCCTAACAGGATAGGTATAATCCTGTGGAGGGTATAAGTAAATCCATAGCACGGTGACGGCAACAAGAATTAGAATCACTGGTATCCATATGTGCCTTCTTGGAGCTGCTCTTGCACGCGGCACTGGAACAACCTTCATATCCTTGGCACTTGATGGCCACAGCTGATGCCACTTCACTCTTTTCTTCCTCTCACAGTACAGCTCCGCACCTTCATCTCTCTCAGAATTCACCGGACCTAGAAAACAATCTTAACACAGCTTCCACCTTGCTTCTGCAAGTGCTCTGCAGAACAAAAATGGGGCGATGTCAATTGAATTATGAGACATACCACTGCAAATCAAATTGATAACATGATTCACTCTGGTTATAAAAAGGAAACTAATATTGCTTACAGAAGATTTGACCTGTTCTACAAATAGGAAAATGGATGACGAAATCATGCATGTTGCTTATCAGCAAACGTCCATAAACAGGTCAATCCGTTTGCAGATTTCACTATACATGTTTGTACTTCTATAAAAGAACCAAATATTGGAAACCTTGGAATTTACATTTCCACGTGATTGAATTCTCATATTGCGGTCATCAATATTCAATAGAGATGAGAATTACTCAAAATTCACTTTCTGTTCCTCCCCTGGGTAAGTTGTGCCAGTCTTTGCGGAAGATAATAAGTTGTGCAACACAGATATGATTGAGCTATGTCTATGACAAGTAGAGCGTTATGCAGGTTAATAGAATGCCGCACACCTAAAAGCGCGGAAAGCAAACCAAACAGTAGTAATGCATGGCTACCAAGGTATCATGTGGGATAACTGTAGTAATGAGCAATCTAAATAGGTCGATTCAGCTGGAATGTTGCTATTGAAGTGCCCATACTTGTATACATCATTTGCTCCCCTTCTGGTATAACCTTCAATAGCTCATGTTCTACCACTGCATATTCCCTTATGCCAAGAATTGTTCAGAATCATATATAAAGAGAATAATATATAGTTGTCTTGGGAATTAAAATGTCTGTGTTCTTCTAATCAAACAAAACGTGTGATACGATGTGTCAAATCCCAAATGGTCCCAATATGTATCAGGAATTCAGAACTCCTTAGACATGTGCGTAAACAACCATAAATTTGCAAGTATGCAATCGCGAAATGAACCAAACATTGAAAGGAATCACAGATTTCTTACATCCCCAAATTCCCCTCTTGCCGAAAAAACAACAAGCAAGAAGACGAACAGTTCATCTAGCATATGCAATATGCATTCACCTAAAGATGACATCTTTATACCCAGGAACACCAATGCACACCAAAATCCACCAGAATTTCACACCCCTCAAGGATTCAGAATCAATGTGGCAAAATCACGCAGCTCAATCCATCCCCCTCTAACCCCCAGGCAAAATCCATCCATCCTCCCCAAAACGATTCAATCAATCATTAGACCAAATCAACCATCTCCAAGAACCTCCATCAATTAAGCATCATCGATCACAAGGCGGGGAATCAAAAGAAACGCGGTGTGCCCATACCTGTGCGTCCGATTGGCCGATCCGAGAGGGAAGCGCCCGGCGTGCGCATGCAGGATCCGGGTGGAGTGAGTGGCGCAGGGCAGGAGGAGGAGGCCGAGAAAAATTGCTCCTTTTTTTCTTCTTCTTCTTCTTCTTTCTCCTCCTGTTTCCCGGCCGCTGCGGAGAACGCGCGCGCGCGGGCAAGGGGGGAAATGGAAAATGGAAAATGGGCATCGTCCCCGCTCAAAAAGTGTGTTCTTGTAATTCTCGCATGCGGATTTTCGTTTCGATGAAGTAGTGGAAAATGTATGCACAGCCACCACACTAAATGCATATGCGTGTAAAATACTCCCTCCATATACTTTTATATACTTTTAATAGTCATATTTCCAAATCTAAAAATTTTATTTTTGATAGGCATATTTCACTCTAATAACATATCATCTTAATGACTTTCTCGGATTTAATGCATGACTCTCCATTTTTTCACACATGATTGGCTATATGGACATCGAGAAACATAAATATCAATGAATCGCTTGTTTACAAGGAATGACTAGAGCATGTTTAAATGGATGATAAATAGAATTACTTATCCTTGATCTGTGTGCCAAGATGAAATATGACTATCAAAAATAGATGGAGTAATAAATACTCCCTCCGTCCCTGAATATTTGACGCTGTTAAAATTTTTAAACATGTTTGACCTTTTTCTTATTAAAAAATTAAGTAATTATTAATTTTTTTCCTATCGTTTGATTCATTGTTAAAAATATTTTTATGTATACATATAGTTTTACATATTTCACGAAAGTTTTTAATAAAACGAACAGTCAAATATGTTTAAAAAAGTCAACGGCGTTAAACATTTCGGGACGTAGGGAGTAGTGTTTGTAACGGTGACGTAAATACGTGCAGAATAATAAATAGTGTTTGTAGCGGTGGCTATAACGATAGTGGATTGAGATATTGGTCGGAATTAAGCTATTGCTATTGTAATATGTTATTGGCTTTGTGTGGTCACTATTGCACAGTTATTGTTCATATATGTTCATGACAACTTAATGTGGCTTCTTAATATATTGTTTATTTATGTTGTTTATAATTCTTATAATTTTCTAAATTTTAAGTAATCTTGGTATTAGTATTGGTATATAATCTACATTTATGGTTACAATCGAATTCCGCTATTGAAACTTAGCGTCCGTAATAGCAACCACTATTAATTATACAGACACTAATTTGCTACCAACCACCTATTTGCTATTTATTACCTTGCTTACGTGTGAGCTCCAAGCCATCAATTTCTATCTTCACAAAAATCTTTTTAAAAGCACACCTGCGTGTGAATAAAAATTGTGAGAAATAACATTTGAAACCAAGTGAAATACACCCTATACCACTCCACCAAACGGTTATGAAAAATAAAAATAACTAGAGGATACCCCGCGTGTTGCTGTGGGACTTGGTTAACATCAATTTGTTAGATAGGAGGTACAATCTCAAGAAAAAACAGAAGAAACAAATAGCTTTCTTGGAGAAATTTTTTTTAGCAACCCTATCCAAAATTTGTAGATAATTTAGGTAGCACATATGAACTGAAGGGGCGTTCAGCCATAAAGCTCTTTTATATGGATTGATGGGCTGGATGCATGTAGATGTGTGTGGAGATAGGCCAATGTGTTTCATGTGGGCTACATTTGGCACTGAGGAGGTGAAGAGACTTACCCGGTGACTAATGGGTTGGGCTCTATGCTGTTATTCCATCCAACGTCTGAGAAGCGATCTAATGCATTCATCCAACGGTTCACAATTTGATGATGAAGTATAAGCATGAAGTTTGAGCTTTTGGCCTTAACTTTATAGAAAGAAGGGATATAAATAGTAAATTATGGTGTTCAATGCTACTGCACAAATTTAATAAACACACTAAAAGAAAAAAGAACTAGCTTATAATTGAAAAAGCACAATCACACCTAGAGTTGGACTTGTTAGGCGAGATACAATAATCTATGTTGAGAAAAATATATTTAAAAGTTTGTCACCAATATTTAGGTCGCACACTTGAAACAAAAGAACATACCTAGACATTTTGGAGTTGGAAATTTAAATTCCTCTCTTATTTTCTGGTCAATTATCTATTTAAAAATGAGTAAATTCCACAAAACTACAAATATTTTATTGAAATTGTTGCAAAACTATAGGGTTTAAACTATGACATCATAAAACTACATATTGAGCACCAAATATATAGAAAAATTCTATATTATTTTAGATGTTAGAATATGAGAAATTGTTTGCAACTCAATAGTAGTTGACCTTCATTAGGATGATCAATCATTCTATTCATGAATTGGAATAGTTAGTCTAGGTTAGGATGATCAGCAGAGCAATTAAAAAATTATACTCATGAATTGGAATAACTAACTTTTGCCCAACCAGTTTGCTAAGGCCATATTTGTTTGGACTTGTAAACCAGCTTAACTAGATGATTTCTCATGCTTTGCTACGGGAATTACTAAACATTTTTTAGTATTTTTTTACAATCAAGCTAGGAGTAAAAATTAATAATGAAATGTCAGTATTTCATTATTACTTATCATAAAAACAAACAAATGATGCATACATTTTAATGTGGAATATATTAATAAGTATATGTTACATATTATAAAAATTATTGATAGATTGTGGAAATGATGTGAGGGGTGATCATTGGATATGTTTACGTGTTGATTTGTATAATTAAATAGATTATAGATGATGTTGCACGCTTGCATGAGGATAAATATGTAATTATTGCTTATGGGTAATGATGTGATATGGTTGCATATTGAGCTTTAAAGTTAGTGGGTTGTAACTTTATAGAAATTATATATTATAACTTACTTCCTCTATTCTAAAATGATCATCATATAACTTTTTGAGGTTATTCCTAAATGATCATCATATTTCTGTTCTATTCGTTATTTAATTTGTACATTAGAGTAAATGGACATTGATGCATGGATCCATGTACACAAGTATTCATAACCAACATGCATCAGGTTTGTTGCCGGAGTAATTAGTTTTTCTTGGCCTTTGTGTACATATGTAATATGATGATCAGAGTGGAGTGAGTATAAGCTAAAAGTTAGAGTCCAAATAAATAGATAGCTTTTAATTTTATTGGATACTATTACACTATTAAGAAAAAATAGGGTTTGAGCAAGTTCTTTTTGGCTTATGCGGATTAGAGTTACTCATCCATCTTTGAAGGTACTTAAAAGCCACTAGTTTATGGGCAACCACAATGGAACCATAAGAGAGGTCATAAGCCCTTATGACCTAACCTTATATATTGTGGAGCAAGAAGAAATAGTCTTAAGCTAGCTTAAGACTAGCCTTTAGCTTATAACCCATCCATAAGAAATAATAATTTGTTCTTTCTTTCACTTTTTTCCACCATGTTCTTGTTTATGTCCGCAAGCTTCACTATTGTGTGGTAATTTGTTTCTCGTGGGACCCACCTTATGGTGAAAATTGGCATCAACGTAGGACTCACCTTAAGGTTGCATTCACTAGAACGGATACCCTCATCTCAATCGGGCGGTAAGCCCCATCTCAATCGGGCACAGCGTCCGTCACAGGCTAGAAGTCACTGATGTGAAGAGTTATCTCAATCGGGCAAACAGCCGTCACGAATGAATATATCTCAATCGGTCTCTAAGTAAAGCCCGTTATAGATAGCTTTGACCCAGACGACCAGTCAAACTATAGCCCGTCACAGATGACCTATCTCTATCGGGCCACTACTAGGGCCCGTCACAGATGACTACTAACCTTTATCGGGCCTAAACTAGAGCCCATCACAGATGATACACATCTCAATCGGGCCTAAACTATAGCCCGTCACAGATGACTACTGACCTCAATCGGGCCTAAACTAGAGCCCATCACAGATGACTACTGACCTCAATCGGGCCTAAACTAGAGCCCGTTACAGATGACTACTGATCTCAATCGGGCCTAAACTAGAGCCCGTCACAGATGAACTCATCTCAATCGGGCATTTATTTATGGCCCGTCACAGATGACTATAATACACAAAAAAAATAAATTTTGTTTTTTTGGCTAGCCTCAGGCCTTTGCTAGCCATGCCCGCTGCAAAAATGACAGAAACAAACACAGATATCCAATGTCCCCAGCTCCCCAGCATCACCCATTCATATACATATGCATTCACATACACAGACATCAACATATTTCACACAACCACACATTCACAGCCATCTCATATTTCACATCCATTCACATATTTAACATCCATTCAAATATTTATCATGATTCACCTGCAAAACCGAGTTAATTGTATCAAATATTTATTTAGCAAGTCTTAACATAAACATATGAAATATATACATAAATATAAACATCACAGTTACATCATCACAGTTGCATAATAAGTGTTCATCATTGCCTAAACATAAAAGTTCAACATTGTTCATCATTTTAGTTTAAGCCTAAACATTCCTTTGGGGTTAATTATTTTGCGGAGGATGAAGCTAGCTATCTCCTCGCGAACCTCCTCAAAGCTAGTACACAGAGACTTGGTTATTGTGCCCTACATTGTCATAATTCCAGATTAGTTGATCGATCATATATAAGTACTAAAATGTAGTTAGTCTATCACAATTGAGACCACCGACCTCAAACTCAGCCAAAGTCTTCACCTTTTCTCTATACAGAAGGCGCATGTTGTGGCACACATGGAATCCGCACTGGTCACCTATTTGAGATGACATTCAGGCCCGTCACGGCTGACTCATCTGTGACGGGCCCAAAGATAATGCCTGATAGAGATAGATTAATCTCTATCGGGCTTGAACTAAGGCCCGTCACCGATGACTATTTTTCCATTTTTCCAGATAAGTCTTTATATTTGTGAGTACAAAATATATAGCTGCTGTATAATAATTCATTTTATTAGCCATAATACATTTTCGAATAGTAAATGATTTCAAATGGAAATATGGTAAACAATAAAGTTGATCCTCTCATCAGGATCTACAACTTTTATTTTGGTCATTTGTCTATATAACTTTGTTTCCAACAGCTTGAAATTGATTTTGACAATATGACAAATCTAAACAGCATTTGTAAATACTAAATGATTTCAAATGGAAATATAGTCAAAAACAAAGTTGATCCTCCCATCAGGATCTACAACTTTTATTTTGGTCACTTCTTCATCCAACAAAGTTATACTACCAATGTTTACAAAATTGACATATCTGTGTT